AGTACCAAAACAATATTATTAATCTCTTTTGAAGTTGCTTTCTACTCTACACACTGGTATACACAAGTTATGATGATTTAGGTTGTGTTGTGAAGTAAATAATAATAGCTCCAGATTCTGCCATCTGCAAACTTAAAATTAATATGTTAACAAGTAGTAATTCTGAATAAATCTCTGTACAAAATAAATGTCGTAAATGTTTTCGATGGAAGTATGTACTTGGTTTTTGGAATTGGATTTATCTTCATTTTCTAATTCAGTATCATGTGAATTCTTTAAAATAACCTGATTGTTGAATAATTAAAATAAGATCAATCCTCAGGAAATTCATAAGGCTCCATTGCACTATACGGTGTGGAGACATTATGGTGGAGGCAATGTCGGTCCTTATTTCTTCAAAAATGAGGCCGGAGCATTTGTAACTGTCAGTGGTAATCATTACAGGTTAATAATCATGGATTATGTGTTTCCCCACTTGCATGACATCAACCTGCTACTGTTTTGGTTTTCAACTAGATGGTGCTACACCTCATTGTGCTTCAGTGACTATCAACTTATTGAAAGACCAATTTCACAACAATATTACTTCATGAAATGGTCATGTGAATTGGCCACCTGGTCGTGTGACCTAACACCACTGGATTATTTTTGTTGGGGATATGTTCAACCTTTAGTTTATTCTGATAAACCAGCTACAATTGACTATTTTGGATGCCAACATAACTCATGTTATCAACGAAATGTCTCCAATTACTTGAAAGTGTGGTTTGAAATTGGACAGGCGGAATCTGGTTCATGCAAGCTAGTTGTGGTGGACGTATGCCAGAAATTATTTCCAGAAATTAAATGTAAGAAGGTTATCTTTCAACAAAAAATAAAATTGTCTTAAAACTTAATTTTGTGTGAGTTTCATTTCAATTCAAAGTTCTATTACTCTCAAAAAAACACCCTTACATGAAAAAGTTGCTATGCTAGAGACTGAGCTCCAACAAAGAAGTTCATTATTATAAAATAAATGTAACAAAAGCATGGTATTGATCCACTTCATTTTTCTCTGGATTTGTTAACCTAATATGTAATCTCACCATCTATGTTAAGAATAGTATTAAAAAATGAATTATCTTTCTCTCATTTATAGTGCCTAAAATGTAAATTATATAGACAAAATTTAAGAAGTAAGCTAAATATTATGTTTTGTTTGGTTTCAATACCCAAAACTTCTTAGAAAGATATCCTTTTAAAACAAACATTTTCATGAACATCCACTATCATTATTTGTTGGCGGTATTTGTGATTGGTTTCTTAATAAAAAGAAAGACAGGTATATCAAATTACTAGATGTTTGAATTTCAGAATATTGTGGAAAAACAGAAAAATTGTCTTATCTTCAATAAAAGAATCATTTTGGGAAGAATCGATGAGCCTTAGATTCCCTTCTTCTGAATGTTGGGTGTCTTCATCACTTGGTTTTTGAGCTTCTAATGAGTCATTGGCAGTTGTTACTGAAAAATTTGTTTTGCAAGTTTCTTCAGCTTTTTCATCTGTCTCTTTGAGGAATTTTCTTTACTTCTCTTTTCTGTGCTGTGTTCAACTGTTTTTACATCTTTACGTGTATAATATTTTGTGCCATCAAGTAAAGAATATACAACTCTCTTATGAGGATACAGTTTTAACTGTACAACATGAACATTAGATTTAATTTGTAATAACCCATTTATGTTTTCTGAGACTGGTAGAAATTTAATATCGTAATTGGATTTTGATAATGCTGGTCTTATAAATTTTGTCATAGTTATTAAATATCTTTAACTAAGATTTTGAGATCACTATCCTTCATTATGATACCCACTACAACTGAGTCAGGGGACTGAACAATGAAAATGCTATCTACAACATTGTTATTGAACAAACCACGAATCACTTCAGCCATTTCTAGTGGTCTGATGTCTGTACTATCAGTTCCTTTGTAAATATAGGTGTACAGATCACTTTTAACATTTATCACACTTTGGTATACAAAAGCAGTTTCTTCTTTTTCTTTAAAGTTGATCTAATTTTAAGGTCTTGTTAGATTCACAGTGTTCAGAATCATTTTTTTGTGTCAGCACTGCAGTTCTTTTTTGATAATTATCTCCATTGGTGATTGCTGTGTTTTCATCTAAATTAGACTTTGTGTCCCTTAATCGTGCTCTTCAGTTTCTTCTATTTGGTGCAATACATTTTCAAAAACTTCTGTGTGCTGATCTTGTCCAATCACTAAAATTTTTAAGGCTCTTTAAATAAACAGGAACACTAGTCATGCATGGAAATTGCAGTTTTTGTGGTAGGAATCCTCAGCATTGTCATAGAGAGCCACAAGAATCATGTGCGATAGTACATGTATTTGTGTGTTTATTCTTAGCACTGCACATTGGATGGAGAACCTTCCATCATAGGCAAGTAACTGCTGACCTGGTGTGAAGTGGATGAAAGGTTGTGTGCTTAGATGAATCAGACACAATGTTATATTCTGTGCGTTCCTCGTCTTTGTCAAAGACGTGGGGGAACGGCATGAGGTTAATTTGGTGTTCACTGTGAGTTGTGTGTTGTACTTTTCTTTTTTGCCCAATAAAATAATGATTTCTGTATACACATCTTTACTATTTCTGCTTCTCTTTGGCTCTTGTACTGGAAACAGTTTAGTACTAGCATTGCGAAGCACATTCCAAAGGCCTTTAATCACAGATTATTCCCACCACATTATTACCATGTTCAATATTGTACAGATTCCACAACTTAAGAAATGACCTTGTATATTTAGGAAATCTAAATCTATGACACTCTAATTGTGTTGTTAGAAATTAAAGTATTACTTTTTATTTCAGGGATATGAAGAGGCAGTTTGCAGAAAATTTATATCAGATGAACTTCATGAATGCACCAAACCCAAAAGACTCTCAAGCTAATTTGAATTCTCACAACATTGGGCTTGTAAAGGCCATTATTTGTGCTGGACTGTACCCTAATGTTGCCATTATTCGGTATGTTACTTTTTGTTCTTTACCTTCCCAATATATTATTTTATTTCCAAGCCAGGTATAGCAAATCTAATAAATGCTGACATTTAAATTTCCCGTTGTCTGAGGACTGTTGGTTGACCTTGAGAGGCATACTGCGTTGAACCATGCTATGTGATTGGTAATTATTTTCAGAAATAAGAATTAGTTTGGGGGAGTGAATGAGGAGGGATGGCTACGCTTACTATATTTACATAATTCTATGTGTAATAAATAATATGTATATCTTTACATTATTATTATTATTATTATTATTATTATTATTATTTATAGTTTTTATTATTAATCCTTTATGAGCAATTGAAGCTTAAACAAGGTATTTAACATAATACATATAGGAAATACATTTATTGAGATGTGAGTATAATTTTCGTTTTTCAAAGTACAAGGTTTTTAAAGGGATGAATCAAATTATGATTTTAAATTTTAAACAGTAAAACCTGTGTAAACAGAATTGTTTGGGTCCTTTTATTCCATCTTGTACAGTTTCTGACTTATTCAAGTTTGCAATAAAAACTGTCAATTCAGAAAATGCAATCATACAAAAATGGAATAGGTTGTGTGAGTAGTTTACCTCACCTTAAAACATAATTTCAAAAAATGAAGACATCTCAGAAGAAACAAAGAAAATGATATACAGAAACGCAACATGAAGTATAATGAACCAAAGAACTCCATAGAAAGTAAAAGAAATATTATTTTCTTCAATATTTGTAGGAGTAGATGAATTCATCTGATGATTTAGGCTTCGGCTATTTGCCTCTCCTCAGTCCTTGTGAATATTGTGGCAACCACCTACAAAAAATTTATTTTTACCACTCATTCTTGATTTTTTTTTTTTAAGGTGTCATTCACTAGAGTTTTTCCAAATTTAAATTTCTTCAACACAACCTTGGCAGACACTTAATGAATTTTCATTAAATTTCCAAGGGACTGGGGTTATCAACAACCCCATAGTACTCGGAGGTTTAAATTTAAAACAATTTTTACCCCAGCTTATCCAGAATTTGTAATACTGTTGTCCTAAAAATTCCTTTCTGTTTCTATGTTAGGAAGGCTTATCTGGCTGTTTCAGGCTTATCCAGTGTAATTTGCATTGGAAAATAGTCTGTTGTGGAATATTTTTCTGGTGAAGGCAGGTTTCCGCCTTCGTCAGGTTCTGCCTTTGACAGGTTTTACTGTAGTTCAATCTTTATTCTTCCTGCTTTGTCCCCTCCTTGATTTTTTCTTCTTTCTTTTCTTCTTCTTTTCCTCTTCTTCTTCTTCTTTTCTTCTTCTTCTTCTTCTTTTCCTCTCCTACTCCTTCTTTTCTTCTTCTGTTTGAGGTGAAATCTGAAATTTGATCTTAAAAAGTGTATTATTTTCTGCTTTATTTCTCTTTCAATAAATTGTTTTTGTTGTGATTCTAGGAATAATAGTGTTTGTGACATAAAATTAATTGATTCATTGAAAGTTATAATTACAATGTCAAGTACTTCCTGAATTTATAACAATTAGAAGGCATTTATTGATAACAATTTATATTAATGTACTGTAATGTGTGTTTTGTAAAATGAAATACAGATAAATGAAAAGTTTGGGTATGTTAAGTGACTATAAAAAGGGTATTAAAAGATACTCTTTAGTACTATGGATTTTCAAGTAATGCTTGTTTAAAAACTTCTTTCTCTACAAGCAGAATTAATAAATTGTTTGTTATTGACATTAGTTTTTCTTTGGGATAGTTTCAATGTAATATTTCACTACTTTTAAACATTATCAAATATAAGAAACAAACCAATAGATTTAATACATATTCAGTTCCTTGAATGTGTTAGAAATTTGACTTTTTCTTACACACTTTCTAACCTCACAACTTTTGCTTTTACTTTTAACAAGATCATAACTTTTAAAAGAACTTATTTTGCAGAATTAATTACTTTAATCATTTCAAAATGCTATTTATCATTATTAGTCATTTATCCTAGTTTTATTATGAAATATTTTCCTCTTGCAGGCAATATTAATTTTGCTATATTTTACAGTTCTGTGAAAAAGATTCGTAATGGTATGGTACGAATGAAGATTATAACTCCGGAAGATGGTCGGGTGCAGATTCATCCACGTTCCATAAATGAGCGACAAACCCATTTCGAAAGCCCTTTCCTGGTCTATCACACCAAGTTGAAAAGCACATCGATTAATCTTCATGACACTACTATGGTGCACCCAATGCCCCTCCTTTTCTTTGGGCAGTACTTCTGGCCAGAGAAAGAAAAGGGCGACTACTACACCATCAAAATTAGCAATGCCATTCAGTTTCGTTGTCGGTCACGAACCACTGAGATAATACAGGTACTGTCACTCCTATTTTCAAGTTGTTATAGATACCATTATGAGTATGACTAATGTAAGGCTAATAATTGTGCAAACTGCAATTAACTTTGTAATTAGGAATTACGAGAACGAATGGTGAAATTACTCGAGTACAAAATAAGCCATCCTGGGACAATCGACTGGAGTCACGATGCCAAAGAAGGAGCTCTATTGAGGTAAGGTGTATTTCTGGCTTATTTATTTATTATTTACAAAAACAACAAGAAGAAAACTATGTCAGAGATCACACAATGTTTTGTGTTCTGTTGTCATTGTGATTTTCATATAAATTTGGAATTCATCCATAAAGAACATTGTTTAATATTTCTTCACTGTAATAAAGAATTGATGTAATAATTTCATGGAGAAAATATATTCTCCTGTTATAATTTTTCCTCTCTTTCTGGCCAGGAAGCTTCAAGAAAATGGTTTCTTTTGCAAGTAGCTGTAAATCCTTATTTTACTGTAATCCTTTATAAATTGTCATTTTTGGGGTATGAATATCCTTTGGCTTAAGAATTGGGAAAGCGGTTCTTGGATCTTGTTACACTTTTCAATGAGAATTGGAAGAGTATATCAAAAATGCTCTTTTTGATTGAAGTCTTTTAGCAAATATACAAGTTTAGGATGGCTTGTTTCTCACCTCTCCTCACCCTTCTTGTTTTGTCATCATTGATGTTATGTATTGTTTGAAATATATTAAAGGAAATCATGCTTAATGGTACACCGTATGTAAGAAACCGACAAATGATGTGAAAATGGGACAAATGTTCATTGTTTTGTAAATAACTTGTAAAATGTGCTTGGAAGGCACAAATTAATATCAAATTGTCGTTCTTACCTTTTTCTTTCATCATCAGTATCAGGAATAATATAATGATCACTTTGTTTGAAATACGTTTTTTGTATCCCAAATGGATCTTCATCAAATGGGGTGAAAACGGGACATACATTTTTCAACTAATAATATGTTGTTCTATTCTCACCCCCTGTAGAATAATTACAGGATGGCAAATATCTACTTCTGGGTGGATATTTGAAAAAATGTTAATTGTGGTAGAAGATAAAAGAAAATGTAACATTCGAAATCACTTTGTACATTTGTTGTGATATATTTTTAACAAATTTACACATTTACAGCAAAAGAAAAAAATTAAGCAAGATGTAACAATTTACTTACTTGAAACAAAATAATAAAGAGAAGTTTTTATCATTTTACTTTTTCATGTCAAACCTGGAAATTATTCTTTTATCAACTCTTAGAGAAATAGGCAGACTCTTCTCTACGTCTTTCACTTTGTACTACAATAAACTTCTCTCCGAGGCCTTTTTCAATACTTCCTATATTTCTCCAGTGCTTTCACTTGTTACTGAACAAATATCTATTAAATAAATTGTAAAATGAAAAGAGATGTGGTTAAATTAAAATTACTTCTCTGCTGCTGAACATATAAACAGATTTTCTTTTATATTTCATGTAAGTTAAAGCAGCATTTAATAGTTAATTTGTATAATTTCTATATATCTTACACCACCTTTTTATGTACCTCTGAGATGTACCTATTTCAAACAAACAAAAAAAACTCTATAAAAATCAGTCTGATTTTCACCATATGAAATTCTCTTATTAACATTTTACCATCAATACACAAAATAATTTTTAAAAAACTGAACACTATTAATATAATAATATAGTATACAGGAATGATATAGAATACTGACTTATGTCTAATAACAAAAAGTTTAATTGCAACAAAAACTGTTTTGATGAACATCACTAAGTCCAAACGCACACACAACTAGTCACCAAATCATAACATTAATCTGATTAAATTTCTCAAGTAAATGGCACTGCCTAATTGCCCTACATATTGTTGGGGCAATAAAAATCTTGGAATTTATGTATATACGATGTCGCAACATTGTCCCATTTTCGCCCCACTTGGCATTAATTTTTTTTATTTCTTGTGATATAAATTCCTATTTTGCAAACGTCAAAATCATTCCAAAGCAGTTACTATTAGTTGCCTCCACAAATTACTATTATTAACTCATTTTAAGATGTGGCAAAACTGCAATGTTAAAATTCTTCTCCACCTGCAAGGAATTGTGTATGAACTTTTGGTATGGCAATCTGACAAGATTCATCACCACTCTTTCCAATTTAAAAAATGGTGTCGTTTCCATGGTACCTTTATTTTAAGTTTTGTGTTATCTGTTGTTAATTGTATACTAGATAATTTAAAACCATAAAAATTCAATGTAGTTGTAGACTACAAATTCATAAAATTTTTATGGTTTGAAAATGAGACACATTTATGATATTCCATCACCTTAATACTAAAGTTGTTCTAAGGTGAAGGAAAAACAATTTTGTCTTTAATTTTTATTTCTCATCAGACTTTTTCTACATTCTCTGTGTTTCCCTGTTGCCAAAAGTTCACTTTTGAAAAATGTTTTCTGTTGCAGGGCTATCATCGAGTTGATATCTTATGAAGACAGACAAATGGAGATGATTGCCCAAGATGGTGATGATTGTGATGTATCTGATTGAAAGAGTGTTCACTTTATTGTATGTTATCCCTTTTGTTAAAAAGAACAAATCTCATCTTCATCCCACAATCATCATTTATTTCATTTAAAATTCCTAAATCTTATTTATCTGTAAGAACTATGCAGAGATACCTAATTTACGTATGCAAATATTATGATATTTTTTTATTTGGTTTAATAAAATATCAGTGTATATAACAAGGAAAATTAATGTTATTAAACTAAATGTATATTGTAAGAATGAAGTAGTGAAAGAAAATTTAATCTTAGATTTTTTAAGATGTTCCTTCCCTTATCCTGAATAAAAAATAATTTATGACGTTTGTTTAGATGATACCAGCAAAAAAGAAAAAAACAGTGGCAGTTATTTTGAAATAAAGTTCTTTTCCTTAGCCCATCTAATTTCATTACAATTTTAGATAAGGGGTCATCCATAAATTTTGTAACAAATTGGGAGTATTTTAGATTCCTCCTCTCCTCTCTGTATTACGCATCAATAATGCAACCATGACACACACTCTAAAATTTATTTAACTCTTGTGTTAATCCTTTCTATTTATTGAAAGTAAAATTAAATTATTTTACAGTAAAAACAAAGTGAACAGATTTCATTCATTTCACGTATTAAAATCTTAATTTTTTGAAAACTGAAGAGTTTTCACTTAAAAAGAAGATTGAACTTTCTACTCAAAATTCTCAATTTTTTTATTGTAAGATAGTAGCTCATAGATTTGTTATCATTTGCTCTTATTAACAGGGTTTATAGTATAAACACTCAAAGTTAATATCTTAACATTGATAAAACAAATGCTAATTTACCTTCATTCCTCATTACTTTGTATTGAAGACTAACTTTATTGATGAATTATGTTGAAATGAATATTTTTCTGTATTGTGCAAGATGCAATTGATCTAACAAAAGCAGTAGACATTTCATGAGGTTGTAGTTGGCAAAAGCAATGATAGACATTTTTGAGTTAGTGTTTTTAAATGAAGATTCATGAAGGAATATAAATGTAATGTCCAGCAACTCATTCACACATATGTTCCTTCCTTAAAAATTTTTAATATTTATAATTATGTTTCCATTTTTATGTTAAGGTGGATAGCAGAATTCTCTGCTACAATTCACTGCATGTACAGATCTTGTTAAACATAAAACGTTTCCATTACATTTTCAGAAACTTGTTTAAATATTATTTTCTCAGTGAATAGTGATAGAGAATTTGTAAACCTCTCTCGTTTCATTAGTCTTGGAGAATAAGCACTAAATAACATGAAACAATATTTTGAGATTTTTAATTTTCCTTGTAGTACATGTGTTGTAGATTTCCATTGTAACGTTTCTAATTTCTTGTGTTCAGTGTAATTGCAGGGAAATTAGTTTATGATAACAAAGTTCAATTTTTGTGTGTATAAATTAGAAACAAATATCTTCTTTTGTGCACTTAAAACTAATTTTCTTTAACTATCCACTGGCTGACTTCACTTTCTGAAGGGACTGAATTTAGTTTTGTTTAACACTGAGTGAATAAAGAAGTGAGGAGAGAAAATAGGTTATTTGCTGAAGTGCCAGTCACAGATTTAGTACCAAAAAAACTAGTCTTAAAACATAGGCATTGATTCCTGAGGAGAACCACAAATTGTGCATGAACAATGGGTTTACACATGCAGTTTTCAACTGAATTTGGAGAGGTGGTAATGATCTGCTTCCTTCCCTTTTGCTGGCATCTTCAAAACAAAAACAAAAAAAATCACCCCACTCCAAGGCTTTATCAGCAAAAGCAGAGTGGTGGGTGGCACTTAGGATGCGCTACAAAGAGCACATAGCAATAGAGGTTAGTAACTTCTGATTTTTTTAAAATTCAATTTGTTTGCAGTTTCATGTTATTAAAAAATGAAGTTTTAACTTAATTACGCCTGCCAAATTAAACGTAAACATTACACGCTATTAAAATTAGTTGGTGATGGTAGCTGCAAACAAAAAAAACTTTTTGAGGAAAGGAAGGACGCATAGGGGAGACAATTTGTGCCAATAAGTGTGGAGATGCTATCATGATTGATGAATGGGTAGGAGTCCCCAGTATAATTTAATTTAATTTTCAAATGAATTGGTCAGTTTTGAATATTTTTGGCATAATCTAACAGATTTAAAAAACATGTCGTTGAAGAAAAAGTATTTCCATTTTATTACACTTTATAAATATTATAATTTTTAATTTATTTTTTAATATTTTGCTGCCTTAGTATTAGATTGAATAAAAGGAATGATTTCTGAAAGTATTGAAAAAGAAAATGTATTGGCATTACATAATACTAAACTAACATCCCCTAACCCTATAAAATACAGAGTAATCTTGCCTCCACTCCCTTTCCTTTTTTTAGCATTATATAATTTATAGGCGAACCTTAATATTAGTTGTTTTTTTTTGACACAAACAAGATTCAATGAAAAGTTAATTGAGTTTTGTTTATGTCAACAGTTAAATAGAATTTTTGGAATCTGAAAGTATCCTACAGCTTTATTATTGAAGCTAAAATCTGTATGTAAAATGCAAAGCATTTCTCAATATTAGATCTTCAAATCATTTCATGATCAGTGTTTGGATAATGGTTATTCATTTAATATAATTTAGAGTTTAAATGTCAATGATCATGTGTTACGAAAAATATTTCTATACATTACATGAACATAATAATTACAGCATGCCAGTGTCCAGTGTGTAACTCAGTGGTGGCTCAGGAAAAATTCAACTTCCACCCAGAGAGCCCAGGTTCAAATTCTAGCCAAGCTGAATGTCTGTGCTTGTATTTTTAGTGAACCTTTGTTTTTTCTTTAAGAAATGCAATCCACTGTATTTAATGGCAGGTAGCCATTTTCATTCAAACTCTTGAATGTAAAAAATAAAGATATGTACTCTGATACTATTTGGTTAGGAGTTTTTACAGTGATGTATTAATGGGAAGTTAAGTAACATAATATTTTGTAACCATCATCAATATTATGAAAAAGTGTATGCTGTTGAAACATTTCTGATTTTAACCATTGTAGAATGACCATGATGTAGAATTAGGAAATGTAGTTTATGGGATATGCAAATCCTGTGAACATCATTTCCTAATTACTGATTTTATTTTAATTTCATATGTCTAATTAGAATATTTCTTGAGGACAGATTCCTTGAAAAGTTAGCTTTCTTAAATTGAATGTTTTTGGACTGCTGTAAGATACTTTAAATATTCTTTAGCATTTTTTAAAATGTGTTCTTGGAAATTCTAGGAAAACTACATTTTATTGGAACACAGAAAGTCATGGCTGCAGATTTAGTATTATTTTTATCACTGACATTTTTGCTTTAAATTTCTGATCGTAAAGATTATATTTTTTGTCAGCAGTATTGAACTGATGGTTTTCTAACTTAATTTTCCGAACTCATGTGAATATTTGTAATATCTGTCCTCTCCAATTCCCCATTCAGGATTGGCAAATCAAAAAGCTGTTCTTAAACTGTGGCCTGTGATTTTATCAAGAAATAAAAAAATGATGTTGCTCCAAAATCTTAACTGAAATAAACAATATGTTTTAGGAAAAATTAGTTTTAAAAATGTTGGAAAAAAGTTATTCCCAATAATAACATAATTTATTCAAAAATCATGTCAAGTAATTAATACAATAACTAGGGAGAAGATACTTACTGTGGAAATCAATTACCCCAAATCAGTAACAACAAAACACAGTAAAATACTGTAACTATTCCAAAATTTTACTAATTGGAAACTAAAGCTATCGGAAAATTAATATTAACTACTTACATAATCAGATTACATCTTATTTAATTACTCTTGTATAATTCATGGTAATGTTTTTTTTATTTTGCATTTTTTATGCCAAAATGGATATTGTGAACAAAATCTTTATGAACACATAATATTCACCTACTGATATTTCTTCTTGTTATGCTCACCATCTTCATTTTGTACGCATGAAGTCTAGGAGTGTGACTTCACCACAAAATTAATATAATGTCCTGTGCAACGTTCAACCAAATCTTGCCTTGGTCGCTATCTGCACAAAACTGCTAACTTCCTGAAGTTAACCCTACAGAAACAACTTTCGATAATGAAATGCACATTGTGCACGCTAAATGTGTTAAAAATACAATAGCAAGTAGCAAGAAACAAAGGAAGCATTTAAGTGACACTAAAAATCATTTTGTTGACAGTAAAAACAAATTAGTGGTAGTTTAGTATTGGAACTATTCATAATAGTTACGAATTAGCATAGGCATGTGCAGCCTAGAGGAAAGAGGCAAACTCCATTATTTTCTGGACACATTTTTCCAATAATTATTTTAAATTAAATAAATACCTATTTTTACCATTAAATAAATAAAACATAATTCAAGGAGATTGAACAATAACTTTAATGATGGAAATAGTAGATACATTTTATGTTGAACCATAATCTGGCTTTGAGAGCCTTTCTGCCAAATGTTCTAGATCAATATCCCAAATTGTTAGGTTCAGAAGAGGAAAATTAGGGATTGAACTTACTTATTGAAGGAAATAAAATTATGTAAATCTAGGGGACCAATTTCAAAATTTTCAGTGGGGGCCATGATGCTCTTGATCCCCCTTAGCACACACCTATGGTTATAAGTTGTTACAAGAGGCTGGACAGAATTACTGTCCTCAATAAAACATCTCTTTTGAAAGGCTTCTAAACAAATTGCTAATATTCACAAGCAAACAATTAGATTTTTTTTGTTTCTAAGTAATTACAATATGTCAAATTTTTGTAAACACTAAAAATTATTATTTAAATTATTTCTATTAAAATAAAAAGAAATCTCACAATAGCACATCAAATGTTTCTCACAAAAATCAGTGAAAATAATATATTTGGTACAGATGCTGCCACAAGAGATTTGTGAAAGTAAATTCTCCTGTTTTGCAAATCAAATTGCATCTGTAAATATATATTAGTATTTTTGGGACAGCAAACTTTTATATTTTTAATTGAAAAATATGAATCATTGTAGAATTAAACTTTCAAAATGAATTATGGAAGGTACTCACAATGGTGTGACTATGACTGATGTTTCCCTTGCAAAACTTGTTCCATGAGCCTTTTCATGAAACGATTTTCAGTTGTACCAAGGTATTAACATTGTTTAAAGTGAGTCACATTCTCAATCCACAATAAATGTTAGAAGGCCCAAACTTGTATAATATACAAATGATCCTGACTCTCCAAGACCAAACAGTGGTAGTGGGCTGTAGACTCTAAATACTATTCAAAGAGAAGCATACACATTTCAAGAAATTCTGCTTTTACTTCTCAAAAATGGTCTGTAATAAAATAATTAGACTGTCATATTGTTGAAGTGGTTAATGTTCCCAGATTTGTTAACTGATTTGGTCATTGGTCCGGTTAGTGTAGTGAATATTTTATCTCAGGTAGTGATATCCCCCCCCCCCTCCGCTGAATGGTGAGAACCTACACGTCTGCGCCCGGGGAATTTCCCTCTCCAAGTATCTCCTCTAGCAGGTCACCGCCCCGCAGAAACAGACTCCAAGCTCCCGACTGATCTACCGACATTTATGCACATAAACATCTGGCATTTGCAGGGCGTTGATCGGAGAAACCACGGAAAACTTCTTATCAGAACAGCCTACCGCAAGATTTCTCCTTCAGACTGCAGAAAAATTCGACCTTGCTCTATAGTTAGTGTCGAAAATCCGCCACTGACGGGACTCGAACCTTAGGACCCCCCCCCCTTCAAGGTCCTATTGTTAGTATTCTTTCAGAACAAGGTTCTTCAAAAAAACATATAGACTAAGATATTTCTTTACGAAAATCCAGTTTGTTTAGTTTTATAAACATGCAAAAACATCCAACGAAGTTGAATAATTTACCCAAGATAAAAGTATCACAGCACAATTTTTTGTAGAAAAATTGCCCTGGTAAAACTATGACGTTACTTTTGTCTTACGGACACTACTCTCTATTCAACAGTATACAACCTTGTAAGTACAATGCGTACAGTTATCTGAACGCACTGCTATCATAGTCGACAATATTATTTCAACTATTCCCCCTGCAATGGTGTATTCCATTTGCCGGCATTTAATTTTATCGCATCCAATTTTTAATTTTGTTGAAAAAGAGAATCTAAATTACGCTTGTATGTTAAAAATACAAGAATAATTGTAATTTCACCATGAATTTGGATGTTACATTTACATATTTTGTGAGAAAAATAGTTTGCCCCAATTGACTTATTAGCACAATATACGTAAAAATGTTGAAAGTTATATGTTCAGGGACAAAAATGATTTTTTGTTATTGGTGGTGTCAAATGGATGGGTTTTGATTAGTGCGGTAAATAGTTTGTACATCGTATCCCGAATCGACTCCAGGTTGCAAATCTGTAAAAATGAAAAATGAAACTGTATTGGACGATTTCCCCAATGAATTTAAATAATTACTATTATTCTTAAATCTTTTAAATGTAATTATAATCTCCATTGTCACAAATGTGCATTTTAGTGACATTTCACGATTTTTAATCAAGAAATGTAACATGTAAAAGTTGTCGAATTTGCATTCGATAGTAGGCCGCCGTCTCCTAACCTTGATGCGTTTCGTATAATCATAGTGATGGATTGAATTAGGGGTTTCCCCACGTCGGCTTTCTTTTTGCTGCCGAGGGGATCGTTGTAGAAGATAGTGGGGAGAAGAATGCTGACGTAGCGTGCTCAAATTATAATAGTTTACTATTGTAAAGTTTCAGCTGCTTCTTGATAATTCTCGTGTGCCGATAACCTTATTGTATACGTCAAAGGTGCGAAATTTATGAAGAGATGGATGACAGACCTAAAAGAATTCCGGAGTGTAATAATTTCAAAAAGACTGGATTTTGTAGATATGGTGCTGGGTGCAAATTCTCACACATTATCGATAAACCTGATGGTAAGTGCACAGATTGATTGTGCTACATGATATGAAATGTAACTGGTACCGATTTTTAGTTGTATTATCTAATAGTACGGAAAATGTGTTTTTGTAGCATCGTACGTTTAAAATACCTAACAATTCCGAACAAGTTCAGATTACATGTGAGTTGTTACATCGTCAGATTTTTTGATAAAGGACTTCCACCAAGGTTTGCTGCCAGTTCTTACAACGTTGACAATTCATAATTCAATTAATGTTAAATTTTTTGTTTTAATAGATTTAACCACTTTTTTAAAAAGAAATTGGCGCATCTGCAAGATGTATTAGTGTGTTCTCAAATTTATTTTTCATCAGTGAAAATTTTAAATGTATAGGCATAATACAAATGAGGTGTTTTCTTTTGACATTTTTTCTAAATGTGAAGGAATGAACAAAAATAGGATCAAGCGAGCTCTGATACTATACAGATGGAAAAATACCTTAAGGCAAAGTGAATATTTTTTTAATAGTAAATGTTCTTTGCTCCAGAAAGTGATAAAACTTTGATTATTGCTTAAGTAATTTCTATTACTATCTATTATCATGCTTAATTTCTTAAATCTGTTAATGATATTGCATTGTGGAAAATATTTTGCAAGCTTCATCATCATGTATCATCTATTGTGTCACAAATCTCAATTAGAAACAAAATTCTTAGATGAAAATAATTATAATCCATGGCCATGGCCATGGCCTAGCAAGAGAGATCGGGGGTGACTATGCTTTCTTCTTTCAATGGTTATAAAATAAATAAATACAACAAGACAGTGATAACATACAAAAACTGAATATATGCATATAAGTTAGAGGTGGGTTATGATTCAGAGTAATTCAAGATTGAAATAAGCATTGATCTACCATTTCATTTGTTATTAATTAGAATAAATTATTTAAAATAAGTATCATTGAATCATGATTATGATCCACCGCAGCAAATTGAATGTATAGATTAACTTGTGGTCTTAAGATGGGCAAATGATAGTACAAAGAGTCTGCTGAAAGGACTAATGCATTCTTTACAGAAAACTTTCAAATTTCAGGGATGGGGAGTTCAAAAATCTTTTAGTTATTAGTAAAATGCTTTTTTAAAAGTATTGATATAAATACATTTATTAAATATAAGTGGCCAGTCATATCAGCATACAACTGCTATGCAAGATCAGGATAACACCTGCAAAAGTAGCGCTGGATATCAACTGATGTTACTGCAGTGCCTTTGACTAGGTTGTCCTAGGGTTTGAATCTCACAGGTGGGACGATTTTTAACTCTTAACTGGAGAGCTAGGTCAAATTCAGCCTCTTATGTGAAGGAGAATGCTAGTGACCGGTTGCTGTGATTGGTAGTTTTCTGTGGTTTCTCCAACGAACACCAGGTGCTGTTCCCTAACAAACAGGCCCCCACGGACCATGTGCAATCTTTCCTTCCTCTTCCTTGTCCTTAACAACAGACTCGAAAAATTCTCCAATCGGCCCAGGGTTCGACAAGTCTATGAATCTTATCCCATCAAGTGTGGGGAGGTGAGGGACAGGTGAAGCGAAGAATAAAGAATACATTATGACAATAGTTAACCTTTCCTTTATTGACAGATTGGTGGCTAAGGGCATCAATTGATGTCACTGCAGTGCATTTGACCAGGTCATCCTAGGGTTCGAATCTCACTGGTGGGAGGATTTTTAACTAAATGGAGAGCTAGGTCAAAAAAAAACAGGAGGCCTTGGGGTTCAAGTCCTGACAGCGGCTAGATTTTCGACAGTAACTAGATAGATAGGTCGAGTTCATCTGCTGTGTGGAGAGGAATTCTAGCAACCGGCTGCTTGGATCAGTTTTCCGGGGTTTGTCCAATCATTACCAGGTGAATGCCAGCGCTGTACTCTAAGAAATAGGCCATGAATCATGTGTGATCTTTCCTTCCTCTTTCATTTCCTATTCTCACCTCTTACTTACACCCACTTACACTTGCTAGCACTACACTACCACATTTGTCAGGAGCTTAGAGCTTGTCCCACCCGGGGTGGTGCCTTACTTGAGAGAGATACCTAGTTTGGAAATTCCTTTGCAAGCAGACATTGGTTGGTGCCGGATCTCACCATCCAACAGGAAAATTACCACCATCCGTGATAAGAAAAAATGTACTGCACTAATGGGACTATTGACCTTCGCAGTTGACGTGCCTGGAATCACTTGTCAATCAATCAATCATGTGAATAATGTTTTTAATTAAAAGCAGATAAAACAAGTTAAGATGCATGTTCAATATACAGTAAACTTGACATTAAAATAGACTAGTATCTTGTGTGCTGATTCCCCTTGCTCTTCTTCTTCTTCTCTTTTTTTTTAGTTGATATGTTCCATTTTTCTATTTTTTTTCAGTAGTTGCTTGCTTTATCATTTGGGAGATCATTTTCAGAATTTGTTAATTTTGAAGTCTTAAAAAATATTATAATTAAATTATGCAAATGCAAGTTTCTAAAATACGAATAAAATACAAATTCCTTATATTAAATTAAATACACAATTTAAGGATAATGAGTTTTTCTTTGAATTATCCAAAGACAAATTCAACAGAATGTTTTTCTCTAGAATGTAATATTTTCCTGTATTACTAGCTGACAAATAATTTTCATTATAATCATCAGAACTTCTAACTCGTTAATAAAAAACCCATCTGAACTTAAGGTTCTAATGATAGCACAGATTTTACTAGGAAATATGTCCATTAAAATATTAAGCCCTACTTCTTATTCTTTGCCCTTCAGGGGGCTCATGGACAGCGTGGTAGCTTTCCATGGTGCAAACCTGGGTTTGATTCCCCATCAGAGCAAAAGTAAAGTTATCTCTCTTATACAATTGTCTTGAGTTTCGATAGTGAAGTGACAAATAAAAAGCTCATGCAGACCAAATATTATAAATATGGTGATGGTAATATGTTGCGCTCGCCAACCTTTCCCTTACCCCCAGGTGTGGCCTAAGTAAAACCAATGCCCTGGCCTGCAAACCGTGCTGTCTCACAAAAGTTGTGTTAATACAACCCTAAAATGCCAAATACCTAGATATATTTTTAATTTTTTATTCATTATATAAAAAGTAAAGTAGTTCTAAATAAAATAATATAATTTGTATGGATTCTCAAAATGAATTGGATTGACAAATTTACATTGTAAATAATCTTACTAGTTAAAAATTAAATCACAAGATTGTCTTGGTTGGTTTCCTCATACCACCCTTATCTCATCTAACCTTAAGTATAGCCATTATCACCTTTACTATAATTCACCAAGAGGAAGAAATGGAAACCACTATTATTGTTATCCACCCAGGAAAAAGGTTAACCTAAAGGTGCAAGCCTCCTTTCTCACTACATACAGAACAGACAACATACACATTAAGGAGATTCACTATCATGTTATATTTTTATGACTAGAATTGTATCCAGATTTTCTGTACCATAGAGAGGAAAATATGACAATTGTTTCATAAAAGAATTGTCAGTTTAACCTTGAAAATTCATACTTTACATTCTTTGTACTCTCCAAAAGAAAGCTTGGCCCAGGGAAAATTACTGCAAAATATCACAAACAATGTTTTATTTATTTATACATGAGCAAAGTGAAAATAGCAATCTATTAACAGAATAGGAAAGATTAAATTAAATAATAAATTGACCGTGTGTTATTTAAAATAATAATGTAGCCGGGGTATGCTATCATATAATTTTTAATTTTTCCTAGTTATGCATTATATGTATTGGGAGATAACATTTTAATTTTTCTACATTTCATTCTTAGGTAAAAAGAATTAAATTTTTGAAATTGTCATGATATGCATGGAAGGATATCATCACGTTACAATTCCTAATGATTTTCAAGTTAAGCTTATGAGAATCTGCTTATTGTCAAGATTAATTACTTTCTTTAAAATTTTTTTTACAGTAATTCAGGAACTGTTTTCCCAATTGGAAATCTCAAAAAAGCCATCAAGTGTAAGTTAAATTTTGATTTATTATTGTTTTCAAAGTAAATGAGTAATTATTTGTTCACTTGTTTTAATAGAAAGTTGTGTTATGATATAGTAAAATAAAATTTCTTTATCATGTGTGAATAATAGTTATTTACAAAATAAGTATTGTAAGACTTCTTCATATATTGAGATTGGAGAATTATCAAATGAAGTTTGTAGTGCATGTTTTATAATAAAGAGTTACAATACAAATGTCATACATATTATCCACTTTCTAACTGTAACTTAGTCATCTGTTTCTCACCTAGTCATGTGGTACATTTGGTAGAAGACTGAATAATCAATCAGAACACTTTCAGAAGTCAAGTTACCTAGATAGAATAGGCTTAGGTTCTCAAATCTATGAGCAGTAAATTAGATGTAATATGTTAAAGTTTCAGAGAGCAGTGGAATGTTGTAGTAATTTTGAGTAGGTATGCAAAATGCAAGATGAGGGGTCTGTTATAACAAATAAGTTATTTGTTGGGAGTAAGGTATTATGTGACAAACGTGTTCGAAGCAGTTGGTGGGCAGTCAACTGGACTTACAAGTAACGTTCAGAAGATTGAGTTGTTTTATGATAAATCCAATCTTTTCCATAATTTCCATAATTTTGGTATAAATTTAATTTTGTCTTAATAATGGTGACATACTACTGATGTTGAAATTAGTTAATAGGAGGTTACAGATTAGTTATAAAATTACTTAATTTACACTCGTCATGATTGTTAATAGCTATGGGTTATTAGAACACATATTTTAGTAACTCTTTTTATGCAATTGATCTTAGTTTCGTAAATTTTGACTTTCGATAACCAAGGAAATAAAATATTTTTACTCTCAAGTCCCTTAAATTATTTTGTCCATTATTACTGAGTAAAAAATGGAGTTAAAATGAAGTATCTAGGTTTTAATTTTGTTGTTAATTAGATGACAGAAATTTGAACTTTTATTAATAAATTTTTGTGTGTATTATTTCTCAATTGGGATGATTAGTGGGCTGTCAGTTCATGGGAGTAGTTGACATCTGAGTATTAAAATATTAATTGTAAACACTCCAGATAAAATTATTAAATTGGAATCAATAGTTTTTTGCTTATTGTATTTTGCTTCAAAATTTAATGTACCATATTGTGTTTGCAGAGTGTGAAAGTTGGTTTGGATTCTGAGAAGCAAAAAGAGTTACGACAATTTTTGAGATCGTACATACCAAATGAAAAACGAGGTGTTACTCAAGAACATGAATATGATGATTATGAAGATGATGCGTCTTCAGATGATGAACTCACTGAGGAAGAGAAAAATAGAGAACATGAGAAAGTGCTCGAAGATAAATATCAACATATACCTGACAGTGTTTTCAAGCGAAAATTTTTACAGAATATTGTGGGAAACTTTAGAGCCAGCAAAGGAATTCCAAGGGACATTCCATGTGCCCTTGAAAGGAATGCCACATTAGATTTTAACCTCAAAACGAAACTTACTGATCAAATGCAAAATTCTCCAGGCTACAAGAGGATGATGCAAGTTCGTTCTCAATTGCCAGTTTTTGAGAGCAAGGATTATATTTTAGATATGATCAAGGAAAATCAAGTTGTTGTGATCAGTGGTGAAACAGGTGGGTGATTATTGAAATATCCACATTAAATTTTCTTCCATCCTCTCTTTTTTCTCCCACCCAACTCTCATACAAAACACTACATTAGGACAGACTAGTCTATTTTATGAAGGAATTATTTTTGAGTGGCAAATTTCCCTCAAACATCATGTTGAAATTGTTAAAGCCTTGGGGAACTGTTGGGGGCATTCAAAATACTTCAAATTTGTGTTAAGTAATTTATGGACAGCCCTTAAGCACAAAATGAGTGGGCCATTTTCTTAAAGATGTTGTTTACAACTCTGAATTATTGTAGATGCAGTGAATAGTGTTTTACCAATTTTGTTTTAATTCATTTTCTGTTTTTTCTCCTAAATAATATAATTTCATCTTAAACTTCATTATAATTTCTTACTTCAAGAAATGGAGAAAGAATATTTTTGGAAATTTGTTGATTCTATGACATTTTCTCAATAATTTTTAATAAAGAAGCAGAGGGAGATTGGGAAGTTAATAGAAAAAATCAGTTAAATAGGCATTTATTGACATTACTCCAAAAAATTAGTAGAATTAGGCAACATTAATTTTGCTGTACACAACCTTGATCTGAACTCACACCAAGTTATTTTTTTCTCTAACAAAGAAGTATAGGCATTTTGCCTAACATCAGGTCTACACAAGCCTACCATATGACCATGGAATGATTTTGTTCTTGTAAATGGTACATTTAGAAATTGTATCCTTTGTTTTGAAAGTTCAGTAAAATTAAGTATAAAGTATATTAATTTCTGTCATATGTTCTTTGTAATTATTAAATTTAAGTACTTACAGTCTTCCATTACTCTTAGTCCTATTGAAATTCTTGTTTTGTGGTGTTTTGGCAGGTAGTGGCAAGACTACACAGGTGGCACAATACATTTTGGATGATTTTATCCTAAATAATCGGGGATCTGTTTGTCATATTGTGTGCACCCAGCCTCGAAGAATCAGTGCTGTTTCTGTAGCCCAGCGAGTAGCTGATGAACGGGGTGAAAGATGTGGTGAAAGCGTGGGATACCAAATTCGGCTTGACAAGTAAATGTAATTTGTGAGTGCTCTTGTCTGTCCAGGTTGTGCCGCCACAAAGATTGTGATTAATTAAATCCAACTTCTTGTGGTTTTCTCAGTGTTGACTGAATAGCAAAGGGCACTCCCAACAGCACACACACATATATATATATA